CATTGAAAATAAATGTCAACTAACATAAATGTGTTTTCATACTTTTGCCTAGGATCTAATGTGGATGCAAAAATATGAATCAAAGGAATTTCACTATAATATTTACGCCACTTTGTTTCCATTGCTGGAAGATACTGATCATAATCACTTTGGCTGCGATGATCAGCGAAAAGTTGGGCGAGTAAACATGCATTAGAAAGAAAGTTTTGAGCACAAGGATTGTAAATAGAAGAAAAACAATACGTCATGTTATATAATAACTGTAAAAATTGCATATATCTTTCATAGTTATACCAATCATCATCATATAAAGCAGTTTGTGGAAATTTTTGGTTGTAAAATATTGTTAACGGATTCTTGTACTCAATTGCCTTGGTTAACATGTCATAGGTGGAATTCCACCTAGTTGGGCAATCGGTTTTGATTTTTATTGCCCTTATCTTTTGTTGTCTTAGAAAACTCTTCCATTCTTGGTACCTCATGTTTGAGCTATTAATAGACATAATAGCATCTTTGATTTAGTTGTAGTATGGGCCAATTGCCCGAACTCCATCCTGTACACATAAGTTAAGTACATGGCAAACACATCTAGTATGAAGAGAATTATCGTCTAATATTACATCAGTTAAGTTTTATTTGACAAGATTAGCTGTGTATGTCATAGAGGTTGCATTGTCAAAAGTCATAGACATCATTTTATCTCGAAGGTTGTATTCGTCTATTGCTTGCATTAAATGGTAAGCAATGTTAATGCCGGTGTGTGGGTATTCCAGCATTTTGAAATGTATTATTCTTTTTTGTAACAACCATTGATCATCTACCCAATGGAAAGTCACACATAAATAGTGATATTTATAACCACTATCCCAAGAATCGGCTGTCAAAAGACACTCTACAGTTAAGGTTACTCAATTCGGCTTGTAACCGCAATTTGTACTCTAGGAAGTTTTTCATGGCGGTGGAACGAACGGTTTTCCTAGAGATTCTTTTATGTTGGGGTTGTAGTGCTTTGTTAATGTAAGTGTTGAATGGGTCACTTTCCGAGAAAAGAAAAGGTTGTTCGGCGTGTACTATCACTTTCCCTAGTCCATCCCTATCCATCTCATAGTTGTAGGTAAAGCCGTATGGATGGTACTGGGAAGTTTTCATGTGTCTACTTAAGTGTCCCGTTCCGGATTTGGATAGTGCCAAGAATACACTATTACATGTTTTACATTTTGTATGTGTTTAGGGTTTATTTAGGAGGAAATGACGCCATACATCACTCTTTCGGTTTTTCAAAAGTAGCATCTCATTTTCGGTTAACCATTCATGATGTGTGTTTGGGTTAGTAGTAGTAGAAGGGGTAGAACCGGAGGGAATTTAGGTATCTTCTTGGCTACTTTGGCTAGAATAATAGTTTTGTTGATCACCAAAATAATTAGGTGGGAATTGACCGAATTGTGGGAATTGCTGTGGTGGTTGAAATTTGTTTGGTGGTGGAAATTGGTTTGGTGGTGGAAATCCCGACATATTATAGGGTTGAAAACCGGAAGTACCATCGTGCCTAAATGGCTCATAGCCCGGGGGGAAGTAACCGGGGTCATTGGTTGGACTCGGAATTTGGGGGCTCGTTATATTAGGTTATTCCCTAGAACTACTACTACGGCCAAGTCGGCCTTCCCCCCCTAGATGATGGGTTGTTTGATGCCATAATTAACAATTAGATTTTTAATAAAAACTGATTAACAATAATAATAATTAATAACAACAATTTTAACAATAAAAATAACAATACTAATAATTAATAACAACAATTATAACAATAACAATAACAATAACAACAATAATAAATAATAACAATAATTGTAACAATAATAATAATTAATAACAACAATTATAACAATAACAATAACAATTAACAACAATAATAATTAAACAAGATTATTCTAATAATAACAATAAAAACAATAATAAATTAAAGATTAGTTTAGATCTTACAACCGTGCTTCAACGCTCCACTAATTACGATTACGAACTTTTTAATTTTTTCTGATATTAAGAAAATAATTAGAGAATTTAAGAGAATTATTAGAGAATATAAGAGAATAAGAGATTAAGGATTATTAGAGAATATAAGAGATTAGAAGAAGAGATTGTGATTTTGTGATTTGGGAATTGAATGGAGGTGGATATTTATAGAAATTTTGGGGAGCAATTTGGCTAAAATATAGCCGTTAACTAGCCGTTAATGGCTGTTGTAAAACGGCAATATTACCGTTATTAACAGCAGGCACGCGGGCCGTGCCGGGCCGGCACGAACTTCGTGCATGGCGGGTCGTGCTTCACACCGTGCCACGTGCCGGGCCAACGTGCCAGCACGCTCGGCCATAGCCGTGCTCGTGCCTGGAAAACCAGGATCGTGTCCGTGGCACGAAATCCGGTGGGCGTGCCATGCCGGGCCTGGGGTCGGGCCGTGCCGTGTTGCGTCGAATGGCAGGCCGTGCCGGGCGGCACACGGGCCACCCCGGCCCGTGCCCAACTTTAGGTGGGGGGGGGGGAGGGTGAGATTCCCTACCTTCCCCCACTCTTCCAAATTTGGGGTTCCAGTCCGGTAAGTCCCTTCATCTTACCGACGTTGGACTTTTTTTCACTATTCATTCATTAGATTTGACCATAATTTTTTTATTAATATAATAAAAATATATTTTATCATAAAATATGTTGTTAGATAGGTTTTAATATAAAGTTTCATAATACAATTTTTATTAATATTTAATTATATAAAAATAAAGTCAAATTAGTGCATTGCCACGTGTGCAATGTTTAACCGTGTCATATATTATGGGACAGAGGGAGTAGTTATTAAACAAAATTACAGATATTAACACCAACTATAATTACTTATTGGATTGACACTATTTATAGTCAAAATGTAACATTTATTAAAACAAAAACCACAAAATTGGTCTCAATGAGAGTAATTTTGCCTAGTTAATACAGTCGTTTTGAATAACTGATGCACTTATTCAAGTATGGCCAGACCGCCAGATGCACTTATATGAGACTTGGCTCTATTTGAAATGAAATTTGCTCATTTCACGGCAAATGAGGCGACTTGGAGGCTTTCAGTAGCAAAAAGGAGGTTCATGTGATTGATTTTAGTACACGAAAGAAGGGATACAATGCCAAACTTTGTTGCAAGCTGAAAACATGAAGGAGTGAGAAAAGAACAATTTCAATACTCCGTAGCAACAATGAACGCAGGCGAATTCAAGCTTTGAAGCTTAATCAATGGAGTGGAAGTTCAATACTGTTCAATGAGGTACATTTTCTACATTACATATCTATTTATATGTTTGCATTTACTTAATATTGTACAATTCTATCCATTTTAATGTTTAATTTATTTGTCAAATGTGCTTCCAAATCTGTATGATTGTATTTCCATAATTTAAGATTTTTTAGTCTGAATCTCTAATTTTTGTGATCATATGATCATATGAAATTCTTTGATTTGAACAGCAGATTCGGGTTTTGGCCTCTCTGAACAGCCCATAGAAAACCCAAATTTAAAGTCATTTAGCTAGGGAATTTTCACTAAGTTAATGCAGAATATAATATGAGTTTGGGTTCTTAATTTAGAGCATTGGACTAAGCATAAGAGTATAAGTATGACAATTAGTCTCCCTAAACAAACCTGTTGGAATTAGATTTGCATGTTTCTGCCTAATTTATGTTATAACACCAACAGAGTTGTTCATGCTATGACGGCCCGTTTGGTAGCCGGATATAGATTGAGGTGATAGGAATGAATTAGTGTAATTTGGCAAGCTAAACATCTTAATGTCTACTAATGCGCATTACCATGGGAATGGACATTGATTATACTTACAAATTTATACCACCATTTATTACTAATCATGGGGCCGTGAATGTTAATTGATCATACGAGAGAATGAGAGACCACCTAATGAGGAACATCAATCTTTGTGTTACATACTTTCCTATTTTCCTTTGCGAGTGTTGACCTGCTAAAATCTTGTAAGGTTTTTGTAAAGGGGCAAGGTTATGGTGCTGTATAGCTGTATGTTTACCCTGATGTACACTCCTCCTGTTTGTTTATACAATGATTTGGAAAGAACAATAGTTGGGTTATAGATTATTTTAGTAGTCTATTTTTAAGGCAATACTTATAGTCTGCACTTTCAATGTTTAAAACAAAAATAAAACAGAGTTACCAACTTCAAATGACCCAAATGAGGATAATTGCATCAGTGCACGAAGGTTCAGAATAATGTTTATATTGAATGGTAGATGTATACTAAGTCTTTTGGTGTATAAGGAGCCATAAGGGTGGTGATGTATACAAGATTATTGATGGGCATCACCCCTATTGACTTTACCATTTAAGCTAGTTGGCATCCATCAGAAGGGTGGTGATGTATACTAGGTCATGGATCTCACCTCTATATTGACTTTACCACCTAAGCTAGTTGGCATCCATTAGAAGGACATTGGTATATAAAAGGTAAATTTTGAGCAAGGGAATAAGTTGCTATAATGATTTTACTTAGCAAAATAGTAAGAGTTGGTGAATAATTTCTGTCTTAGGAAAATGCCTTATTGGTGTTGAACTTCTTAAGGAAACTTCAGTGATGGTGCCTTATACTGATTGATAAAGAAGTTCTAAATTTGGTCTTGAGTTTTGAAATGCTACAGGCTCCAACAGTTAATCTTTTCTGAGTACATGAGCCTATGACTTCTATAATTGGTGAGAAAGACGCTTTCTCCCACTTGATCATTTGGTTGAATACCTCTGTTAGTCAAACCAATCTTCAGGAACCATTGAAACTTTCTCCAAAAGCAGAAGAATTTATCTGATTATGAACGCACTATATTCAGATTGGAATGACTTGTTGATGGGAAGCTCAACATATGCATTGCATAATCTGTTTTATTTTCTCAAACGAATTGTAAATTAAATTCAATTGTCATTAAGTTAGTATCACACAAACAAATGGAACTTTTTTGAATAACAAGGTTAAAAATTACAACTATGTTTATTATTTGAAAAAAAAAAAAAATTAAGCAATGAAATTACAAATTTACATCCTTTGATTTATTCGATACAGAGAGCAATATAAACCTTGCAAGTATATGTATGTTTATAAGGGATCATGCATAATAGGACTGCAGGAAGACAATTTTGCAGCTCTGTCCAGAAAAATGAAGGATTCATTGATATCATTCCCATTTGCTTCTTATCTGATGAGTGTGCCTGAAATCATATGTTAGCACGTTTCTCCCATCACCCCGCTTCAGAACAAAACTTTCGACCAGCAAATAGCAACCAAAAGTTTTCCAGTCTGTTATTCCTTCATATTTTTCTTCTTTTACCACATTGATCCACTTTTCTTTCTCTTTAGTCCATCCAAGTCTTCCTTCTTCCCACATTATTCTTTCTACAATCAGTGAGCTCAGCCCCGTCCGATATACTGTTCCGCTTCCATCTATTGCCTTGTACCACACTACTCCTCTGCCATCAATCATCTCTTCTTGCGCTTCTAGCTGCCCTGCAATTCTTACCACCTCTGCTGGAACCATCGCATTGACTATCACTGTCTTTTCCTGATCATTATTGCTTCTCTCAGCAGTAAAAATCCGCTCCCATCGTTGCTCAAGTGTCATTTCATAATATATGGAGTTCTTGATTTGGACTTTCTCACTCCCATCTTTGATGAAGATAAAAGGGCAGTACCACTTACCAACAACCACAGACGTTGAACTTTCTTGAGAAGAGAAAATATTGAAGTCTGGAAGACGAGCTCTTAGGGAAGAGTCAATACCGCGAGCCTCTCCCATGTTGAAATTTTTTAGAGATTTAGAGCTCATATGCCATCCTTTTCTGCGTAAAAAATCTGGTGGGTGACCATCAGGTGCTACGGATCTAGCTGAGAGCCTGTTTCCACCAAGAAAAGTTTGTGTTACAGAGAACTCAAATTGCTGATATATGTCGTTTGCATCAAAGGGTGGTCTTGGTTTTACATCTCGGATGGTTGGGATGCAAAAGCAGCTTATTCCAAAGTCGTCTTCTTTTGAGCTTGCATATGATTCCCTGTTAGCATGTTATAAGATACGGAAAAAAAAAAAGTAAATTATAAAGCTATGTTGATTCATAATTTCATAGCATAGTATGAGATGATTTAAATTGTGTGTTTACCCCTTTGTCTTCCCATCTGCTTTTATTGCATAATATCGGTTGGATGAGAGTGGCTGGTTGATGACAGGAATTAAATAAACCTCATCAACTGAAGAGCTTTCATCATTGCTGCTTGTATATCTGACGGAGAGGCGTTTATTTTGTGGAAATGGCAGATCATCGATAGACGAGCCCTTGATCAACCCGAACAAATATGTTGGTGTGGATTCTTCATCTCGGAGTACCAAATAACCAGAATTTGGACCTTCTGGAGTTGATGAGATGGCTTCTGGGGAACGCTCGTATAGAGATAAGGGTCTGGTTGTGTACATTTTTTTCCCTCTGTACTAATTCACCAGGAGCTTCCTATTCTTGGCTGATTCCGAAAAATAATAGTCGGCCTATACTTCAATATATATAAGCATAGCGGCCCTAATACTTAACTGAATATGTTAGGAAATAAACTAAATTTACCAAATAACAAATTTTGTTTGTTTCTTTTATTTTTTTGTTATTTTTTTTATGCTTTCCTAATTAGATGAGATAGCCGGTGAAAGTAAATAATTCCGATTTTTGGCAAGCCACAGCCCACAGGATGTAAAGCGTATGCACAAGAAGTCTTGGTCTTCTCCGATATAAACAGCTCTAAGCAGTTTCCGGTGTTTTCTCTCCAGTTATTTTTTGCCGTATCTCTTAATGCAATTTTTTTTGGTTCTTTTTGTTCCTCGATCAGTCTTGTATTTGACCACTTTCATGTTAGAATCGTCAAAGATGGTTGGCTGCAGAACGTAATTAGTTTTATTTGGATATTTTACAAGTATTAAAATAATCGTATTTCTTAAGACCATCATTTACAGGCTATCAACATTACAACTTGACACATTCAAAATTAAACACGCTACCTGTAATTTGTTATTGGAAATAAAAAATTATCCATGACATGAAATTGTTTCTTAATACGGAGTACATGTTAGAAAACAATGAAAATTGATGTACAAAGAGACTAGATAAATTCTTAAGGCACGTGATAAAGGTGTTAGTTGAGACGAACACTACAAGAGGGGGGGTTGAACTATATGTGAGTTGCTAGTGACTACTTTCGCGGAATTAAAACAAAATATAAAAGGAACTTAGCAAAGCACACAAGATTTTACGAGGAAACCTTCTAGGGCCCAAGTGGAAGTAAAACCTCGACCCTCCAAGAGATTTCACACACCAAATCAATCCACTATAATAGGCCAAAACAATCCTAGTTACAACCTATTATAATCAAGACCTTTCTCACAAGTTCCTAACTGAACCTGCTACTCGATAGGACCCTATCCTATCCAATCTAAGTTCCTGACTTAAATTCACTCGTCACTCCTTGAACGCTCACACTCAGCTTCAACTTTGAAGCCTACAATCTGTATGCACTAAGCTTAACACTCACCGAAACCAAAACAATACAAACTCTATGACTCTAATATGTGATTGGAAAGCTACACATGAAATCCGAAACCAATATGACAAAGTTTAGACTTGGAAAACTTACACCTTAGAGCTCTCTTCAGATTCTTCATGCATAAACTCACAAATTTGTGCAAATTATGAATTCTACTTTTTATACAAGAAGTACTCGTATCAAAGTAGAGTTTTCAAAAAGATAGAAATTATAAAACTACGATATTCATAAAACACGTTTTATGTAAATCTTTTTGAGAAGAAAACCTTTTTAGAAAACTTATCAAAGATATAATTTATGAAAAGAATAATATTATGTAAAACCGGATTTTATAAAATAGAATCTTTAGAAAATCTTTTCATAAATTAAAAACTTATCTTTTATAAATTTTCCATTTTTAAAGCTTGCCAAGTTTTGTCACGCCTTTAATAAATTCCATGCATAAAACTTTCCTAACATATTTACAACAATCCTTAGAAAATAAACTTAGCATAAAATTATATATTCAACCTAGATTGTCTCGTCAATTGCTGTAAGTTAAGGATACTTGGGCTTCACGCAGACCAGGATTAAGTTCCCGGTGTCCTTTACTCTCCAGCTCCTTGCTGGAACTTCGTAGGCGCTGTCTTTCACGCAGACCAAGTCAATCTTCTCAACTTGCTGTCAAGCTCCTATAAGGGAATTTCTCTTAGTGTTCCTGTTAGGGAACTCATTTATTTCTAGTAAAGAACTCTTCTTCTACTTTCTTTAAGTTTCCTTAGTTTCTCCTTGAGTCTTCATAGGCAGGTTACTCTTCCAATTCCAAAGTCAACTTCACCTGTTCTAATCACAACACTTAGAGAAAATCGCATTAGTTGAAGTATGCTTTTATCCATCATCATCAAAACTCTTAAGCTTCAACAAAAGGCTTTCTTAATAGTTATTTATCGACTCTCTTTGGAACAATCGAGTTACACGATAAAACTATTGGGATACAATGATAAACCAATTACTTTTGCTTATTCTAACAAAACTAATTCAACAAAGTTCGTGTAAAAATGTGTGTGTTTTCACTTTAAGAAAATTACTACAAATTTTCTCTCAAAGTTAGCAAGAATGATTTTGTAGTTCTAATCTTATCCATCATGCATGTCATATAAACTCCAATTTATATAGTTTATATGAAGAGTAGTTTTAATTCCAACGGATATGTCCGTTCACAAAGCAAACCGTTCAAAAACTGTCAAAAACCGTTAGTTTTGAACTCCGACCGATCGGGCGCGCAAAACACTTTTGTAAATCACGTAAAAACTAACAAGCCCCCTTCGCCCTAGCAGACCGGGCAAGGTCGCCCGGTCGGGCGTGAGCAACATCTCAATGAAATTGAGATAATTGACAATCTTTACTTGTGCTCGCCCTACAGGGCGCCCTTTCCCTATCAGCCAGGGCGAAGCACAAATTAGTCAATTTTGCATTGTTTTGTCACTTTTATACATCTTGCTTTGCTATACCTCTAAGTATAATCATTATACTAATCCTCTTCAACTCCTAGCATAATATAAAAACTTCATATATGATACATAAGCTCCATTTATTCCATAAATGTTCCAACAGTAAATCATAATAGGGCAAAGTTATAGTTAAGGATCTCATTTAACATTTATTCTCTTCGTCTGAAATTAGATGTTTTGGTTTTAATTTTCTAAAGTCTGGTCTAAAATGGTATGATATAATCTAACTTTTTTATCAAAATAAACTTAACTTATACATCAATGTATAAAAATACACCATTAGGTGGTTCAGTTTTGATCATATATATATATATATGTATATATATATATATATATATATATGTGTGTGTGTGTGTGTGTATTATAGAGAGAGAGAGAGGAGAGTTCTTACATGAGCCTTCATATATATATATATATATATATATATATATAGGAAGACGCATGTAAGAACCCTCCTCTATATAAGAACCCAATCATATATAAGAATCAATCTCAGCCTTTTATTAGTTTTGATCTAACCATCTAAAATGATCCTTTAGTAATGGCATTTCTGTAATTTTGAGGAGTTCATATTTAGAACATAGAAAAAAAAATTAGAACATAGGAAAATTTTAGAACATATGCAGAAAAAATTTAGAATATAAGGAGAAAAAATTTAGAACATAAGAAAAAAAATTTAGAAGATAGCAAAAAATTTAGAACATAAGCAAACAAAAATTTAGAACATAAGAAAAATAATTTAGAACATAAGTTGAAAAAATAATTTATAGCACAAGAAAAAATTTATAACATAAGCTGAAAAAATAATTTAGAACATAGAAAAAAATTTAGAACATAAGCTGAAAAAATAATTTAGAACATAGGAAATAATTTGGAACATAAGTAGAAAAAATTTAGAATATAGGAAAAACTTTAAAACATAAGTAGAAAATAATTTAGAACATAGGAAAAAGTTTAGAAATTAAGGTGTTCTTATATAAGAAAGGGTTCTTATATAAGGAGGGGTTCTTACCAGATCCCTCCCATGTATATATATATATATGTGTGTGTGTGTGTGTGTGTGTGTGTGTATACTACCTTCGTTAATAGTAATGTGCAACTTTGAGAGGGTTTGCGATTTACGAAGCAAAACTTGAGGGGCAAAGATTAGAGAAAGTTAAAGAACTTAATTAAAGGGATAGGAGAGAGAAAGTAGGCTCACCCACTAGCATTTTTGGTGGGGAAATCTGGTCCTTTTAGGAGGGACTTGATTTCCCCTCCAAATTTTCACCAAAAATTCGAATTGGTTGAATTTTTAGGTGGGTTTTGTTTTCCCTCCTAATTTTAAAATAAAAAACACCACAATTTCAAATTTTTTTAAGGTATTTAAAGCCTACATTCAGCATTTAAAAGGCATATAAACACCAACCTCCATAATTCCAACAACATTCAATGTGTCACCAATATTTACAAACATCAAGTTTTCTCAAAAGATGAATTTCTTAATCCAAAAGTTAGCACTAAATACCCATGATTAGCCCATTAAAACCCAAAAAAAATCCTCTAAACTAAAATTAGTGTTGCACATCATCAATCTTCATAATCTGCATCTCCTAGCATCCTTGATTATCTACAAATCCACATAGAGCAGCCTTCATCTCCTTGACAGGCTAAAGTCGTATCACCTAATCAAAAGTAATTCCTAAAACCACTAACTAAAATAGATAGGAAAGTAGGGTCGAATCCACAGGGAAACAAGTCTTTCTATTCCTAATCAATTAATATAATCTAAATTATCAAGTAATCAATTTGTTTTTAATGAGAATTAAACTAATGGAAAATAATTAAACTGAGGGAATAATCAATAAGAGAGGAAATCAATAATAAAAGACCTAGGATACAGGTTCACCAATAAATAATATTCCAGGGTAAAACATAACAATCAATTATCAATGCATCAATTAATCAGATCGTAAAGGGCTTTCGCTATGTATTACAATCACAGAATTAATCTACCGGTATTAAATCGCATCTCTCGAATCTTGACTTAACCATTTATAAATTAACCTGCCTATTGAAACTAAGCCTAACCATCAATTCTCATTTCTCGAATCTTGAATCAATATTGCATAACTCATACAATTAAACCAGGCCTAATCTAATTGCATAGCATTAAATCAATCAATAGGAAATCAATCAAGCATTGACAATCAACAATAATAAACTACCCCTTCATATTATTTATGGATCCCCACAACCCTAAAAATAAAACTACTCACACATAATTAAATCTAAACTACTCAAAACAATTAAACAAAGCATGATAAAAACAATAATCAAATAAAGAGAATAATAATTCCGAATAACTAAAAATTACGAATGAACTCAACAAAAATAAAAACAAAGCATCTGACAAAAGCTTAATAACTAATCTAAAGAAATAAAGAATATATGATAAAAAGATTAGCTAAAAACTAATCTAAGCTACCTACGTAAAGAGCTCCCCCCCCCCCCCCCCTCTTAATACTACTACTGCTCCTTTTATAAGCAAGTAAAACAAAACTTAAACTAACTAAAACTCTAATCTTATTCCTAACGAAAATCTACTAACTCCAATAAAGCTAAAAAGAAATCTTTTCTAACCCCTCACCAATTATCGGCCATCTAGCCCGCTGATTGGATTTGGATTAAATAAGTAAACCCACAAAAGACTAAAACCGACTTAGCGCGCGGACTTCGTAGCAAGCTCTTGATTCGTGGGAATTGGGCTTCGAACTTGGACCATGTTGACTTGACTCTTGAGTCCTAGTTCTCATTCAGCTTGTTCCGTATTTCTTGCGGGAACCTTTAACTCTCATAAAATACGATCCGACTCTGATATTTTCTTAGTAGCTCAATAAGCTTAAGAATTGTCATAAATTTGCAAATTCCTACAAAATAATACCAACTCTGCAAAAACACTAGAAAACGTATATTAGTAATAAAAATAGCTCCGTAAAGCTCAAATAAGCATAAATATGACCGTGGGACGGAGAATAAAAAAAATATATAATAGACTCATCACTCCTCCAAAAAAAATCATCAGCCACCCCTACATCATCAAGCTGAATCTGAAAAAAAAAACAAATCAGACACAACACATGGCAGAATTTGTTGAACCTCTGTTTTTCAATGTTGATCAAATACTAATAGAAGAAGATCTGGCAGAATTGTACTATGATCATGAAGAAGATATGCAAGATCTAGGCTTAGAGGACTATGAATCTAAAGATGAGAACATGCAAGACAACCAAGAAGAAGAACATGGCCAGCAAAACACACAAGCTGAGGTTGATTCCCCAGAAATGCAACAACCAATTGAATAAGGGACTCAAGTTCCACAAAGAAAGCAGCTCACCATGCCAAAGAAAAGGGAAATTGTTGATGCAATGTTGGTTAAATGCATGAGGGGAACTTACCAAGGGGTCACATGAAACATTTATTCGTTCAATTTAATGTTCACAAATCCACTGTCACAAGAATATTCACATACATAAAAAAACAGATGGCACAAGGGAATTTGATTGATGTCAGGACTAAGAAGTATGGCAGAACAGGTCCAAAGCCAATGGAATTTTCTGATGAATTCCTACAGTCAGTCCCTTTGCATTTAAGGAAGACAAAAAGGAGTTATGCAGCAGCATTGAAGATCTCTCATGTCACTCTTCACAATTTGAAGAAAAGGGGAAGGCTAAAAACACACACAAGCAGCAACAAGCCAGCACTGTCATCAGACCACAAGGTAGCCAGACTCAAATGGGTTCTGTCACATATTAATCCAATTACAGGTAATGAGGACCCCACATTTGTTGATATGAACCATGTCATACACATTGATGAGAAATGGTTCTATCTAAACCCTGATAAGAGGAGGTTTTATCTCCTACCAAGTGAGGAAGATTCATACAGGGCAATACAGTCAAGAAGATTCAAGCTCAAGGCAATGTTTATGGCCTTAATTGGGAAGCCATTGTATGACACAAATGGGGAACTACTCCATAATGGGAAGTATGTCATATTCCCATTCACTGTCAAAGAACTAGCAAAGAAATCCAGCAAAAACAGAGCAGCAGGAACTTGGGAAACAAAGGCACTCCAGAATGTAAACAGAGAAGTGATTAGAGATATGTTGCTGACAAAGGTCATATAAACAATTATGTCTAAGTGGCCTGAAAGTTTGGCAAAAATATTGTCATCAAATGGGACAATGCAAGGCTTCACCAAGTTCCTAAGGATGAAGAGTTTATGGCAGCAACAACATCAAATGGGTTTAACATTCAATTTGTTTTTCAGCCAGCCAGTCACCTGATTTGAATGTGCTTGATTTAGGGTTATTTAGGTCTATTCAATCGCAATATTAGTCTTTTCCTAGCAACCTAGATGAGCTAGTTGAAAAAGTGGTAGACTTTTATGACACATTCAATCCTCAAGTTAACAAGTACATTTGGGTAAATTTGCAAAAATGCATGATAAAGATCCTCAAGGCAGAAGGTGGGAACAAGTACAAAATACCCCACATGAATAAAAAAAAAAACTTGAAAATCTTGGCATTCTACCAGATCATGTAGAAGTGTAGAAGGAAGTAGTGATGGAGGTTGTGGAGTACCTAAACACTATGTTTAAGCCAGCAAATCAAGACACTAAACAAGCAACAGAAGATATAGAGGTAGATGCAGACTAGGGGACTCATCACAACAATGAAGGAACACATGGACTGCCGCATATAACCACTTAGCTTTTTATTTTTTTATTTTTTTTACATTCACTTATTAGGTGGTTAGGTGTACATTTTTGATTACAATGATGCAAACAAGTAAGACAGTGTTATGTAAGGTCTTTTGATGAAGGCATGGTCCTTTTGTACCCACATTTTGAATGAAATAGAAATGAAAAAGAATTAGTTGTTATGTGGGCACTCAATCCATTAGAAGCTTTGTATGTCATTGTTGAGTACAACACTAAGTCACAAAGTTACCTCAACAACAACATCATAAAACAAATTGTTGGAGCAAAACACGTATTTTTAGTGAAATTCAATGGAGTCCCTTCATCATTTGGATTTGACAAAGTAAACAACACAGTTAAATGGGGGACTTAATACAAATCAGGCTAAAAAAGATAATCAATGGGGACTCCTTTAAGAAATGTTTAAAAACAGTAAGGGACTGACATGTGTTCTCTACCCAAATGATAATTGAGAACACTGTAAGGTATAACCATGCCAACATTAAAAAAGAAAGCACACAGAAGCCTCATCATTCATCAATCAAACCCCCATAGGCACCATATGTCATTTTGGCAATACCAAACCAATCATAGAAGCCAATGAAACCAAAACATGCAGCATGAAGCAACAACAAGCCAACATAATCCATCAAATCAAACCAATAATAATCCGGCCAACCAGCAAACATAATCCTTCAGAAAAAGGCTACAAGAATTCCAATAAGCCAATAATCAACAACAATTACCAGTATAGGATGTCAAGTCCAACAAGTCAACATATTCCATCAAGCCACCAGATCAGACAAATACATCAACACATACATGAAACCAACATAATCAAAAATTGCAAACATAGACAAGAATCCAAAAGATCAGACAAATGAACTCAACACAACAACATCCAATAGGTACAACAACCCAACACAATAAAAAATAAGCAACAAAGCCAACAAGCCACTAGATCAAATCAACACACTATAAAAAAAATCAATGGAAAGGGACTCTAATAAAAAATTAAATAATTTAGGGTTAGGAATCGTTACGCAAGCAGTTACTTGGAGGGTTGAATGAACCTTTTGGGTTCATCCGCCTCGCACAGTGCTTCAAAGGAGGGCCCTGCACTTCACCATCTTCCACTGGAGGGGCAGCCTTCTTTGAAGGAGGTGATGAACCCTCCTTTTTTTCTAGCTCATCATCAGAGGACACCAAGATTATCTCATGAATTTGCATGCCACGCATCCGACTTAAAGCCACCTACGCCGCCTTCCTTTTAGCCCGATCTTCGGGGGTGGCCTAGCCCTCTTAGATCTGGGCTTTTTCGTGGGCACTGAACTCCCTTCACTAGTTTCAAGGACTGGATCTACATCTTCTGCACTGAAATCAAGCGTTTTCTTGCCATGGGACTCCCCTTGACCTTCAACCCTTAACAAACGCTTCACCTCCTCAACGACTTCAAGGACCTTACCCAAAGCTTTGTAGGTAGTCGATGTACAGTAAGGACCAGCCTCACCAGACTCATAGAATTGGCGAGGAAAAGGAGTTCCGATCTCAATAGATTGAATCAGGGACACAATCAAATTACCCTCACCGGCGTCCTCGGTGGCCATGAAAACCTCGTGAAGTGGATCAAGGTTAATCATGTTCTTGGGGGACTCGTTTTTTTCAAGATCTGATGTCTCAAGGTAAGATCTAGAGAGTAAGATTGGAGAAAACTAGGGACGAACTGGAGAGAGAAAGACAAAGAAGATGAACTAGGGTTGATATGGAGAACTCTCCAGAAAATAAAGGGCAGCCCAGCCATCAGAATTTAATTTTTGGTGGTTGGGAATGTGAGTAAATGAGAGTAGTTGAGGGGAAATATGATAATAAATGGAGAGAGTAATTAGATTAAGGTAATCTGATTAGTTTTAGGTTAATGTGATTAAAATAAGATAAGGGTAAAATTAAGAAAATCTAAATTTTAAGTAAGGGTAAATATGTAATTTTCAGGGTTTTTGTTTACTAAAAATAGAAAGTTGCACATAATGTTTAGCGAACAAAAATAGTAAAAGTTGCACATAATATTTGAAGGAGGTAGTATATAGAATCAAGATCATGTGAGAACCAAGGTCTATAATAGGAACTAGGAACTCATCTTAACCGTTGATTGCGCATCATCTGACGGTTATCATCTTACCTGCTTCATTATGGGTAAAATAGTCATTTTACGTTTTGAATGACTACCCTAAATTTTTCCCTGCTTCTCTTTTCATTCTCTCTCTTCATTTCGTTTTCTCTCTCCTCCTGCAAATTCTCTCTCTTGCGATTTTTCTGATCTTCGTACATCCTCACTTCTCAAATTCCCAACTTCTCATCTTTGCTTATTGCTATAGCAAATTTATGGGCTGGTAAGTTGTTTTGATTTGAATTTCGTTATCATTATTTTCTTTGATTTAATAGGATTTTGTAACAAGTTTTTTTGTGATTTTGATTGCGAAATTTAGGGTTTTCTTGATTATTTATTTGTGTTTTTGCGATTTCGATTGATATATTAAGGATTTGCATTTTTTTCTTTGTTGTTTTTTTCAATTAAGGCTTGCGTTTTTTTTAATTCAATTAGCGTTCCTTTTTTTATTTTTTTATCTTTTTTAATTTAAGGTTTTTGATTCAATTAGTGTCTTCCTTGTCAATTGAATCTTGTGTTTATTATAATTATTTTAAGGCGAGTTTTTGTATCGATTTTTTCCATCTGTATTATGTGTTTATCAGGTATTTATTTGATATTTGAGTTGCTTTCCTTGAATTTTTGAGTGAATTTCAGAAATTGATTTTGTTTAACTTGGGGGATTTTGCATCATAGGCTTGCAAAAATTTCTTGTTTATGAATTTGGAATACTAGCTTCATCTTTGGAAAGCAGATGTCGAGCTTTCCTTGAATGGAGAATTTGGAATACTAGCTTTGTTTCGGGGTTTTCTGATGTCCTGCGGGAGAGTTACAATTCCGAGACTGGAACCGGACGCCTGTACCTGCAAAATAACGGAGACTCCTGGTGGTGGGAGCTCCGCCTCCAACGGTCAAGTTAGTACTTGATTAAGGAGTAATTAATGCGGAAATTAAAGTGAGTGGGTCTCTCTAGGTGAGAGTGTTTAATGTGAGTTTTTAGCGTAATCAGCCTGTAACTCTGGGTGTAATCAATGTGTTTTTTCCGTCCTCCCCCTTAATGAGGATTAAGGGAGGTATTTATAACCTTGGGAAACGTGCCAATCCTAGGTTTAGGTTAACCTAGGGCTGATTGGGCTTCCCTCGGAAGTTGGGCCTGGGTGGCCGGTTTCTCCATTAGGCATGGAGTATGCCACGTGTCATGACATAACAGGTCCATGGTGGACGAATAAGCGTGTGCCACGTGGAAAGCCCTGACAGTTCCAACTGGGGGACACTTGGCAGGACCTGATTGGCCCACGTGGCGCATTCTGATTGGTGGGAGCAAAATCCCCTAATCATTTGCCCCTCACAGGTGGCACGTGACTGGTCACGTGTTACCTGTGACAGGTGCCGCACTGTAACAGGCGACGACCTGCTACAGGTGTCAGTCGGCGAAAGGCCGAGAGATTTTCCCGCCCAAATTTTGAATTCTGAAAGTGACCCTTCGCCTTCTCACTTCGCCTATATAAGGGAGAGTTGTCTTGAGTCATTTTCACACTTGAGAACTTTGTGAGAGAACATTCGGACCCCTGAACTTGCTCTGACATTTTGGACCTTTTCTGCCTACCGCCTGTTCTGACAAGCCGACTGCACAGGATTTTCAGCACTTCATCAATCGTCACTCGTTCAGGTAACTGTCGGTTCTCTTACTCTTAATTTTCTTTTTATTTTTTGAAATGGCACCACGAAAGCACACGACACGACCTAGGTTAGTGATCAGCCGGTCACCGGGGACGGCTGAATCTAGGACTAGGAGTGCCGCCTGCCCTTTTCCGGACCCATCTTTGCCCTTTATACAAAGTCCGACTGTATCTGTGTCTATGCAGAGCAGGATGGCCAGAACGAAAAAGACTGCTAGGATCTCAAATTCAGACGGCTCCTCCCACAGGTGCCGATTAGTGAAACATCTGACCAAGCGCCAGATGTGGAAGTGAAACAAGGCGGCCTGAAAGCCGGCAATTCTGAGGGAGGAGTCATAGTGACCCCTTCCCATTTAACAGTTAACAATTCTGCTTCTTTTCAAAGAGAGGAGGCGGGCCCCTCCGGGAGAGGGGAGGAGTCGTCCTCTTCAGACTCGTCAGAGGGCGATTCCGAGTCTAGCTCTTCTGGCCATGCCTCTTTGGACACAAAAGAGAAAAACAGCCGCTTGCAAGAGGCGAGGCTTTCTCACGCAGTTGAGAAGGGGGACAATTGGGCGGAGCCATCCGCCTCTTACCGAGAGCAAAATACCCCCTACTACTGCA